CCAACTTTGGGATCCAACCCTGAGAGCACTGTAAGATCCACCCCCGTGCAGGTTCCCAGGAGTGCATGCAGGAGCTGTATGGAATTTTACATAGGTATGGTTATCTTTTTTTTCTCTTTTTCTTAAATAAATAAACTTTTCTGTGCTTCTCAAACTTCCCTGACTTTACTGCTATCATGCTTCTGTCCCAAAACACATTAAAACCACAGTGCACTATCGGCTCGTTTTCACATCTTCACTGCAGGGATGGGAATCATAATCAAGCTCTTGGATAGGGTATTTTATAGTTTAATTTAAAAATTAAGACAATTAACCAATCCTTTAAAACCTTGGAATGGAAGTGTCTGAAACTTTTTTAGTTTTCATTTTGCAACAGAAACAGCCTATTTCTAATACTTCAGAAAAATATATATAACTGATTGCTTAATCTGAGGATAGCAGTCAGAAACCCAGGATAGTTCCAGAAATGTAAGATATTGTCTCTTTCCTTTCTGCAAGGTCATGCTATTGTCAATCCTAATATACTCTGTGAGCCTGTAAATCATGTACAATACTTGACCACTTCAAGATTGGATTTTTATGGTTTTGTGTTGTTGGGTTTTTTTAATGTATCTACGTCTCTTCTACATTTCCTATCCAAGTTGGGAGGATACAAACACAGCTGCAATCTTTCAGTACCTAGTGAGTGAAAATTTAATGCCAGAGACTGTCTCAAGCATGGAACCACAGGGATACTGGAGGTGTGTTTCCCTGCATGTCACACAGCCTCAGCTGGGCAAGTTCAGTCCATGCTGAAAAAAGCCACTGGCAGAGATTATTTCTGCTGAATCTTGTCTGCCTCCCAGGAATTGGTTTTAGAAGAAAAATCTCTAGCTTTGCTGATGCAAAGAAAAATAAATATAGTATTTAATAAAATAAAAAGTTAAGGCCTCCTAGGACAGCGGTTGTCTTTAAAAAGTCAGTGCCAACAATGTTCTGTATGCTGGGGCATACACTGATTAGAAAAAAAAAAACACCTACCATTTGATTTTCCTGTTTTTAAAATCTGTTATCTTCTGGGAAGTTATGGTTGTGGGGTCTTTTTGAAGCAGAGATGCTGAAATACTTACAGGTAAAGAAAATAAATAGGAAATTCCCCCTCCAATCAAACAGTGTAGTTTGTCAACAGAAGTATTTAGACTGTATGTCCAGCAAACATGTGCCATTACGAAGTGCTTTCCTTTTAAAGGACGGCTGTCTGTTCCTTTGTGGGTAGGAAAAAATAAAAGCAATACTGGAAACAGAAACAGTCACTCATTTCTTCACTTCTTACAGGATTACACACGTTCCATTCTGATGAATGCTTTACACGTTGAGGGCAGCCCATCTCCAGCCTGAATTACTCTTTCACAAGGAAGTCTCTCCCACAGACACAGAACTTGAGCTGACAGAGAAAAATGGGACCTCACAAGAAGGAAACAAAGTCTTTTGAATAGAACAGAATCATTCAGGTTGGAAAAGACCATTGAACTCATTGAGGCCAACTGTTAAGCCAGCACTGCCATGCCCCCACTACACCATGTTCCCAAGTGCCACATCTACACGTCTTTTAAAAATACCTATAGGGATGGTGACTCAACTACTGCCCTGCACAGCCTGTTCCTAAGCTTGACCACCCTTTCAGTGAAGAATTTTTTCCTATATCCAATCTAAACCCGCCCTGGTGCAACTTGTGGCCATTTCCTCTTGTCTCATCACTTGTTATTTGGGAGAACAGACCGATTCCCCCACAGCTCCAATCTTCTTCCAGGTAGTTGTACATTGCTGGCTCATGTTCAGCCACTAGTGACCAACACCCAGGTCCTTTTCCACTGGGCAGCTTTCCAGCCACTCTGCCCCAGCCTGGAGCTGCAGGGGGTTGTTGTGACCCAAGGGCAGGACCTGGCACTTGGCCTTGTTGCACCTTGTCCAATTGGCCTCAGCCCATGGATCCAGCCTGTCCAGATCCTCTGCAGAGCCCCTCCTACCCTCCAGCAGATCAACACTCCCACACAACATAATATCATCTGCAAAATGACTGAGGGTGCCCTTGATCCCTTGATCCTCTCATCCAGATGATCAATAAAGACATTAAACAGGACTGGCCCCAGTACTGAGCCCTGGGGAACAGCACTGGTGACCAGCCCCAGCTGGATGTAACTCCATTCCCCACCACTCTCTGGGCCCGGCCATCCAGGCAGTTTTTTACCCAGGGAACAGTGCACCCATACAAGCCATGAGCAGCCAGTTTCTCCAGGAGAATGCTGTAGGAAATGGTGTCAAAGGCTTTACTAAGGTCCAGGTAGACACATGCACAGCATTTCCCTCATCCACCAGGCGGGTCACGCTGTCATAAGAGGAGGTCGGGCTGGTCAGGCAGGACCCACCTTTCACAAACCCACGTTGGCTGAGCCTGATGCCCTGGCTGTCCTGTATGTGCTGTGTGATGGCACTCAAGATGATCTGCTCCATGACCTTCCCTGGCACCAAGGTCAGGCTGACACACCTGGAGTTCCCTGGATCCTCCTTCTGGCCTTTCTTGTACATCGGTGTCACATTTGCTGATCTCCAGTCACTTGGCACCTTCCCCTTGGCCAGGACTGCTGGTAAATGATGGAAAATGGCTCCATGAGCTCTTCCACCATGTCCTCAGTACCCTTGGGTGGATCCCATCCAGCCCCAGAGCCTTGTGAGTGTTGAAGTGGTGTAGCAGGTCGCTGACCATTTCCCTTTGGAAATGCATTTGGGGGCTGCATTCTGCTCCCCACTTCTGTCTTCCAGCTCAGAGGGCTGGGTGCCTGGAGAGCAACTGGTCCTACTATTAAAGACTGAAGCAAAGAAAGCTCACATACACTCCTCCCCCTATTCACCCCCTCTGGCAGCTCTGGCCCTAAGAGGAGGAGTTCCTCTCCCACAGCTGTGCTCACCATCTGCTGTGCCATGGCCTGTTTGCCTGCCCTGGCTGCTCCCACTCCCCAGGGCTTTCTTTATGGGGGCAAAGTTTGGTTGCTTTTGGCCCACCCAGGTCCTGTCAGCCACTGTTGCACCAGCTGTGGGCTCCTGGAGGCTCCCTTGGCTTCCCCTGAGGTTCCCTTGGTTCAGGAAACTGGAGCTGCTCGCCTTGGCATGCTATCTGGCCATCTGAAAAATTGTACCTGTTGTGCTCCCCAGGAAACCAGGAAAAGTTAATTCCTACTTAGCAGTGGTAACTCAGGGAGCACTGTCTCCGTCTGCTGCCTCAGCCAAAGACACTGGGACGGACAGTGTGAGCGAGGATGGGTCAGTCTGCAGCAGTAAGGACACTTGCCACACAAAGGCTGCAACGAAACAGGAAGCCAAAGTCAAACAAGCTCATGGCCTGATTCAAGACCAGCCCAAGCACCCTTCGTTCCTGCTGGCCAGACATGAAGGCAGTGAGTACCTTAAAGGCTACTGAGCCCTTTGCAGGACCAGGCTGGAACATGAAGATCTATAGCAGAAAGCTGTGTTACTGTGGGGTTTTTTTTGCTCACTGGGTGCGTGTTGCTTCAGTTGCTGTTTTAAAGGTCTTGCATGAGTTGTACTCCTAAAACACAGCAACAAATACGCCGTGCAAATGCTTTTGCTGAGTGAAGCCACATTGCGTCTTTCTTTCAGAAATGAATAAATAAAACACAAATTGCATACTGAAACTGTTCTGCTCCCTTCCAAATCCGCTGACTAGTCAAGCACAATCCTCAGGCACATCCCCAGCTCCCTCCTCCCGGCAACTCAGAGCTGCACTGCGCAGTGCCTGCTGCAGGCCGGACAGCAGAGAGCGGACTGGCTTGGTGCCTCTGGATATTTCTGTAATCCACTCTGCACTTCACACGTTTGCTCTGGCTCAGTGCACAACTCCAGGTTCTAAGGCGCCTTCTTCCGGAGCTGGCGGCTGCACTGGCTCCTGCAGATCTGAACTGCGCAGGTTGTTCCTCGGGGCAGTCTTGGTTCCCACAGCAGAATTCCTGTGCCTAAAGGATGCTCACCTGTGTGGGAGCCTGCGGAGCAGCCCGGCTCCCTCCCCCTCTGCTGAGAGTGCTGCAGACACTCCCAACCTTTCCCAGGAGCTACAAGACAACCAGGAGAAGAGACCGCTCCGCTCTGTTTTGCCCTTCTCTACTCCTGCAGAGACTCAAGATGGCAAATCCCACCAGGCTGCACATTTCACAGCATGGCCACGATTCACCTCGGGAGCAGCCCATACCCAGTTTGGCTCTGAGATGGGGTGATTAGTCCAGTCCCAGGAAGAGGCAAGCACCCAGGGCCAGGCTGCTGCCACTTGCCGCTACAATGCCTTCTTCCAGCCTGGCTCTGTGGATGCTGAGGCTGCCCTGTGCTCTGCCAGGGCTCTGCTGGAGCTCAGCACTGGGCAAGGCTGGGCCTGCTCTCACCTCACACTGCTGTGGCAGCTTTGCATCAGATGAGCCCTTTCTGAGCAACCAACTGATCTTTCTGCTTTTTCAGTTGAGTAAGACTCTCATCCAGGCAAAGAGATTGCAGTTAGTGATACAAATCCAACTGGCAAGAACCAAAACACTACACAGTCCCAGCTGAACACCTGTATCTCCACAGGATGTTTTGTCTGCCCCACTCTTCATTCCTTTTTGGTTGGAAATGCAATTGCACTTTCTTCCTCATATAGAAGTACCACGACTGGGCAAAAACTGGTGAGTGGGCCATATTCAAAAGGCAGTGCAGTCTGGAGTTGATGAATGAAGAATTGCCCTTCTCAATTCCAAACCATACCAAAAACCCCATAAACAGGACTTTACATCGTTAAGAAAGAACTGACAATTTAAAAGTGAATGTACAGCTTATTCACAGGGTGAGAAGGAAGGGAATCTTCCAACTGAATTTGCTTTACCTTGGAAATGATTGAGGCAGCAAAGCATTTTCTGTCATTACCTCTCTGTCCTTAGCCCCATTTCATCTTAAAAATAAATTAAGGAGCCAGAAAGCAGGAAGAAGACAAATGATAATTTTTTACTCCTTGAGGAACTGGGGTGGTCCTACCACCATGACTGTGACCGTTGGTTTGTTCATCCATCCATCTGTCCCGCAGCACGAGAGTTGAGGTTTTACAGAGTCTGTGTTCTCAGTCCTGCTCTGAGCTGGCAGGGCAGAAAGCCGACCTGAAGTGCTAGCGGCTGCTGTTCTTAATCGCTTCCTTTGCTGCAATGATCAGAGGAGTGAGGCTGGAGAGGGGCTTGGCTAATTTTAAAAATGGATGCTGCCCAAAGGAAAAAAAAGAAAAAAAAAAAAAGAAAGGAACCATTAGTTTCCAAACTCAGTTCCTCACAGGCTCAAGGAGGATTCCTCTGGTTACCAGAAATACACAGAAATAGGACTGAGGGGAGTCAGACTAGACGACCGTTAAAGGTTCCTTCCAACCCAAACCTTTCTAGGCATCGGGGGCACTGGATGCCTTTGAGTTTATCTGATGAGAAAATCGATACCTCAGGCAGCTGTTTCACCTGCAGTCACTTCCCATCTTACCTGCAGAAGCTCCTTGGCAGACCCTCGCCTGTCCACATCCATCTCCAGGCAGCAGTTGAGAAAGTCTCGAAACACAGCAGAGAGTCGCTCAGGGTTCTGCAGCTCCGGTGTCCCGTTTGTGGCTATCAGATACAGCGCCTGGAATAAAAACAGGGCACTGTTTCATTCATACCCAGAACTGCTCACAGACACAAATTTTTAAGCTGCAGTCTCCAGCCCTGGCAGAGGCTGGAGATGATTTTTCTATACCAATGAAAAGAAAAATCCTGATGCAGTCACAGCTATTCCAACACCAAAATGATCTTGCCTTGACAGCTGATTTCATTGGCTGACCTAGTTAGTAGGAACTACATCAGCAAACATATATTTTGCTTCTCCAAGTATTGACACCAGCTTTACAAACTGTTTTTAAAGAGTCAGTGTGGTCTAAATGTATTATTTCAAAAGATTATTACATCAAATGCATCTCTGCAGTGCTCACTGCTCTCTAAAGTACAGCTTCCATAAAACAAAAGTCATCAAGTTTTCTGCTCTGTTCTTGATAAAAAATGGTTACTGGATGAAAAAAAAAACCAAACCCATCATCTCACTGTTGGATAAAGAAGCAGAAACATTTGGAGCCTCACATTCAACACAGAAACATTAAGTTGCATGCACAAATATATTATGATGAAAAGGCATAATTGGGTAGACAGGAGCCACCTGCAACTATGTCTTTCAGCAGTCTCTACATTCCAGATCAGCTCCACTTATGTGGTAGAAGAAAAACTTTTAATGGTCTCATCAGAAAAAGGAGTAATTCCATCCCTATGGTAACCCTCTGCTAATTCTGATACTCAAATAAATGCATTAATGATGTTCCCATCTCAGAAACTGCCAGGCAAGAAACAGGAGGTTTGGGTAGTTGGATTATTGAAAGCTCAAGCTTGATGACATGGAGAAAGTGGTTGGGCTATGAAAGAAATATGTTCATTACGTATTTCAAGAAATCCAACAGCTACTGTGTGCCATCAGCTAAAAATCTTTGCTGTAAAAACCAGTCTTGCTTATAAGCTCTCCTGTTTGGAGGCAGCTGAGGCTGCCTCCAAAGAGTTCTGTGCCTGCAGGTACAGCTGCAATGCTTTTCATAACAGTTTTTCAATTGGAGAAACTTGCCACTGCAAAATTCTTGTCATTCAGAGATACAGCTCAAAGAAAGCTCAAAAAGTGCATGACAAATTTCAAGCACCGCTGAAGGCCAAAATGGCAAGTTTCTGCACTGGCACATGTCACTTCTCTTCTAAGGTTCTCCCAGTGATGCAATCAAAGCTGCAGCAGATGCTGATGTGCTCCAGGAACATTTTTAGAAGTGGGCCTTCACAGAACTAATTCAAGCTGATGTGAATGGGATTTTATCTCATGGAAGACAAAATATGGCACAGATTAGAAAGGCAGTGCTATCTGATAGTATTTCACCTTACCCTGAGAGGATTTTCATTAAGGTAGGGAGGTTCTCCTTCCACCATTTCTATTGCCATGATCCCAAGTGACCAGATGTCCACCTTGGGGCCGTATGCTTTTCTTGTTACAACTTCTGGTGCCATCCAGTAAGGAGTCCCCACCATTGTGCTCCGTTTACTCTGCTCTGGGGTGATCTGAGCACAGAAGCCAAAATCAGCTGAGGAGAAAAACAAATACTGTTGAAGCCAGTTTGAATTATGAAAGCAAGCAAAAGAACTCTCCATTTTAAGTCTGAGAATGCAGTGCTGAATCAAGCTGGAAAAGTGGCATTTCCTCAGGGCTGTAGTCAGGGAAATACAGAATTGGCCAGTTAAAGAAACCCTCAAATTTCATACAGTGGCTTTTATTCGTTCACTTGAAGCCTTAGATTGTAACTCCCTCTGCTCTGGAAGGGACACACACAAAGCAAAGCCACTCCTGACACCTTGTTCCTCTCTAGACCTTTCTGCACACTGCAGCTGTGCCCTTAGCTTGCAGCAGGGCTCCGTGCATGCCCAAACCCACCATTTTTGGGGTATTGTCAGTCACTCAAAAGCAGCCCCACACCACATCCCAGGAACACTGCACTTGACCAAGAACACCTACTCAATTTGACAGATCCATCCATCCCAAGAAGAATATTGTCACTTTTGATGTCTCTGTGAATCACTTGGTTGGAATGAAGGAAATCCAGGGCTTGCAGGCACTGGTGGAGAAAAAAAGAAACATGAGGGTAAAAAGTCACGATGTGATTTCATCACACAAAAAAAGGACATGGCTCTATGAGATTTCCTTTCCAGGGCAATGGTGAGTAATGGCAGAACACGGTGCTGTCAAGAGGAAGAGCTTGCTGCTTCAACACTCTTAGAGTCCTATCTTTCTGAGTGAAGGCAGATCAGCTTTTGGAAGAGACACGTCAATTGTTGCTAAAGACAAACACAGACAGAATGATGCTGCTGCAGTGGACATGCCCTTTCTTCTCTGTATAATAACAGCAACACAGAAACAGAAGCAGCACCCTGTCTGTGCAAACCAAAGCACAAGGGGGACCCCTCACCTCCCGACAGACAGCAGCTATCTGTCCTTCATCCATACACGTCTCGGTGACAACGTCAGTCAAAGAGCCTCCAGCCAAGTACTCCATCACCACCCACAGCTCATCACCCACAAGGTAGCTGAAAGGAGAAAACAGTGGTGTGGAGATGAATGTGCATAGCTAACTTACCTAATAATCATAGCTCTACAGCTGATTTTTGTTTCCAGGTCACTTTTAAGCGAAGACAGAATAAAATGAATAAAGGACATTCCTTCTAGGTTCTACAGTACTTGGAATCTGTGCAGTCTAAATGGGAAAGGCACATCCATGAAAAAGAAGATGTCTTAGGTGACAAGCAAGTGAAAAATGCAGTTTAGTAATGGCGAAGATAAATCTGGAATCAGCACATGCCACCAGCCAGTTCACCATCTAGTGAACTGGCAGGCTGTCGTTTTAGTAAGATATGGCTGGTCCAGGTTTTTGAAAACAAGGCTTCAAACTACATATGCCAGAAAAGATTAATGCATAGCCAACGCAAACTCCTGCCATCCACTGGAGATGTGCAGAGAAATAATAAAGAGCTCCATGTTCTGCCAATGACCAAAGGAGTTTTTTGATCTTTGGTTTGCAGTGTGTAAACAAACATTCATGTGATAATACCAGAACTACTTACCTGTCTAAGTAGTTAACAATATTAGGATTCTTATTTTCCCTCATGACCAGGATTTCATTGATAATTAGTTCCTTTTTGGGCTGCTGTTGGAGATTCATTTGCTTTATGGCCACCTAAAATTACATTGAAAACCATTAACCTGAGTAGTCTGTTGGACAAGATCAGAATGAACAAGGAGTGAGTAATTATATGATTTTTGATTGTATCAGCAACTGCTGCTATTCTTGGTTGCTTAACAAAGCAAACATAGACATACATTATGGATAAAATGCTATCCTAAAAAGATCATTAAGGGTCCACAACAAAAATACAATCCTAGCAATTCCCAACTTCTTGAATTTTGATTTTGCTCTTGTAAGGAACATTTTTTAAAACACTTTACACTTGCAGTTACTGTCACGGTTTAAAAAGAAATAATCCATGCTTTGGTATTTTATGGATATACCCAGGGTTAAAAGGAGGTCTTAGGGCTTTTAGACTCCTTGGAAACCCCAATCTAGGCACAGTTAGCAAGTACAGCACTACAGGTGGATAAGAAACTACCAGTAAGATTCACATCTGAGTCTTTGCTGACAGCCAGAAATGAGAACTCAGGAATCTGAAGCTGGAGCCCCAAAGAGCAGTGGGATTCTCCAAGACACTACCTCGGCTGCTTATTACTACCAGGATGACCATAATGAGCTGTCATTGACACCAGAGCAAAACACCACTCTATTCTTACCAGCTGTAGCATAACTAAAACACAAAATTGTGCCCAAAACATGACCTCTCCTTAATTATACCTTGAAGATCAAACACATAATGGAAGAAATGGTAATCAGTATTACTGTCCAAACCTGGGATTAAGATAAATTGGGCCCAAATGATGGCAGTCACCATCAGCTTGTTGATGCAATAGCTTTAGTAATTAAGACTGAGCCAGCGTGTCCTTCTCTGAAAGATACCACTGCCCTCCTTCTTTCTGGTAGTTAATATGGACAAAGTCTTTCTGAAATTAAGTGATGTAACGAAACTATTTATTCCTCACAGCAAGAGGGGAATCTGTGACCACTGTCATGTGACCTGTCTCATTATGACAGATCTTTCAACATTACAAGTTGTGTTGCTAACCTCTCTGTGGCCACACACAGAGGCATTTTATGCTGTAGATACAGAGCTAAATTGTACATCTGAACCAGCATTCTCTATAAAAGCACAACTTCATGCACACTGGGGAACAGAGACACAGCAATTTCTAAACCAATACATTTACACTGGCAGTAAAACTTATCTACTTTTTATCAGCACAAAAGCTTGCTGGGATTTCTTAACAGATCTCTCTCCATTAAAAAAAAACATTCAGGGATTATGTAACGTGGTACCAGGGTGGGACCAACAATAGTGCAGAGAGCACCAACCTGTTCTGAAGACAAAGTAAAAAGCAAATCTCTTACAACTGGCCTTAAAAACTATGGGTGAAGCATCCAGCCAAGCACAGAGAGCATCAAGGCCCTTACTGATCCCAGGAATTTGCAGGCACATTTTCAGGCATTTCTCAACACCTCAGTTCCAGTGTTGCTGGAAAGTGTTTGGCCATAGTAAGTGTTCAGTTACTGAGGCACAGAACCACATTGCCCTTAAAGAGCTTCCACTGGAAAGCTGAAGACAGCAGATGATGGATTTTGCCAGCTGACACCAGTACATGCTTCAGAGGAACAGCTTTTGCAGGAAAGATGTACTGGCCACCCGAAGCTCCACCCACAGCTCAGACCAGAGGGGAGAGCACTCAACAGCTGCAAAATCTGCTGGGATTTTTGACACTTACCTCTTGTCCTGTGGCGATGTCAATGGCCGTATAAACAGTTCCTGAAGCCCTAGAAGCAAAACAGCAGCAAAGAACTGAGAAAAGGTTTAGTCCCTGGGAGTGAAAGCCAGCCCGGAGAGATCTCTGCTGCCTGGAGTGTTTATAAAATACCTGGGTTCATTGACTCTTCAGTCAACAGCACAGCAGCCCATCAACTCTCAGCCATCCAGGGTATCCAAGAGAAAACTGAGGTCCAACATGAAGGAAAAGGGCTGGTGCAAATCTCCAATGTACACACCAAACCATTTTAATCCAAAACCTAAGGGGGAGGGTGTCTACAAAAACCGGAATGTAATAGATTTAAATCTTTTCCATTTTGCCTTGTTGTATTTAGGGTGCTTTTCTTTCCTTTTTTCCTTTGTGTCTCCGTGCGTGTGTTTTTTCCATGGAATGTAACATACAGTCCAGTTGGGCCTTCTCACACCTCTTATTTGAATCCATCTGGCAAACTCGGGTAATACCACACTCTCATTCTGAGAACCCTGAACACATGACAGCCATCTGAGGAAAGGATCTAAAGACAGCTTTCTCCAGCATGCAAGGAAACAGTTCTCCAGCCATCCTGAGAGGTCAGAGCTAGAGCAGGTTAAGGAATCTATTGTTTCACACACAAATGGAGAGGGACTCAGAACAAAGGATCCTTAGACAGCTTCTCTGTGTGTGAAGAACCATCAGCAGCTGCTTCTGTTAGGTGCACCAGACATGTGAAGGACCCTTCATGGTGTTCATGTTTTGCTTCTGTGGCACACACAGGTGTTGTAGAGCCACCAGTAATAAATGGCATGCCCACCTGCAGCCTAGACAGTGTGGTTTGCCATCTGCCTCTCATTCAAAGATGTTCTTCCCCTGTAAGGACTGGGAAGGCCCCAGTCAGAAGAAACCCCTTTGGGTTTCAAAGCAACTGGGGGCTTGTAAATACTTTTTTTCTAAAGGGCTTTGTTCTAAGCTAAACCACAGCTTTCCCTCCATCATTTAAGAAGCCCATGTCTGCAGGGGCAGTGAGGCAAAGGAGAGCCAGGGTGGAAATTCTCTGTAGCAGGAATGCACATCCAGCAAGTGTCCCACTGACTGGAAGTGCCAAAATCAGTTTGCTCCTTTTCACATGATCCCCTGGCTTGTTCATTTACCTGCAGGCTGAAATATTTCTGAAGCAGTTTAATTCAACAGAGACCCTATGTCTGCATTGAGAACAATGCTCTAATTGGGCACACTATGTATTCTTTTAATATAAAGGCAAATGCATTTTCCTGTGACTAACTGACAAGATTAATCCAATTTGTTTTCATAAAAAGTCAATAACATTAATTCAGAATAGCTAAAATTGTGATGATCCTCCCAAGCAAAGTCCTATTAGGCTTTATTTCAAAACATCTCCTGAACTTAGGATGTGTTTGGGATGCTCCAGGCCACCTATGAGGTGTTTAGATAAAGGTAATTTAAGTAAAGCTGTGAATTAGTTGCAAGGGCTCTGCAATTCTGCATTACGAACTTTTACTTCTAACTAACTAATTTCTGATCTGTAACTTTTAATTAGTTCTGCAATACCTTGGGTTTACTGCAGTAAGGGAAGTGCAGGGCTCACCATTAGATCTTGTCCCTGTGATGCAGTGCAGTACAAAACCAGGCTACTCATGGCTCCACACTAATTTTTCTTGCTGGCAAGAGCTAACAGTGCTTGAGCAAACACAACTTCTTTATCAAGTGCTAGTTAACTAAGTTTCCTCCGGTGTCAGCAATATTTTCAGTCCTCGGCTGGAGACAGATGACAAAACAGGGACTCAGCACTGACCTGTTATGCAGCACATGCCTGCTGACTACTCTTCACTGCAAAGTGGCTGTAAAACCATCACCCTGTTTCTTAACTTACCAGCTGCATGAGGCCTTGAAGTGCTCTGTGCCAGTCAAGTTGCTTTTCCTTAGGTAAGCAGTTCTCTACCTGCAGTTCTCTGAGCAGCCACACTTCTCCCTGCCTTGCAGTGCTCTCGTTAGCAGCTACTAAAAACCTGCTCACTTCCAACACCACTGCTTGCTTTCAGCATAACTCATGGCAGAGGTGGGCAGCTCTGGAACTGGCACCTGCATTAACTGTGCACATCAGCACCTTCTGAGGCAGTGCCTCACAGCCCAGCCCTGCTGCAGACAGACATGCCAACTTCAGCTGTGCAGCACTTTGGGTGCTCCTGAGCATCCTGTTTGATTACTTTCCTGATGATTTTTTCTTCAGGATCTTTCCCTATCACTGTAAATTGACCTGTGGTACTACAGGCACGAATTGGTTATGGCAGCACACTCACTCCTCTCTAAGGAGGGCATGCAGTCTTCAGGCTGGAGGAAAATCAATTTAGATACCCTTTTAGGCCAGCTATTGGCCACTTGTCTTTCCACCAGCTGTCAAGGTACTCCAAGGCTCACTCCTAGGACTATCAAAATAAAAGACCGTGAGGGTGACGCTCACGTTCTCACGGTGACAGCAGTCATCTGCTTCACAGGCATGTTTATTCTGCTCTCACTTCTTCAGCTGACACTTCTGAGAGATGGGAACAGCCCTAAGTGTCCACTGACATTTTACAAATGACAGGAAGAACCAAAGCTTCAAGCAGAAAGCAAGCTGGAATTTGAGAAGGGGTTTTTATACAATGAATGGAGCAGAAACACCTTCCCACAAAGTCCTTACCAAACCAGAGATCCAAGATAAAACTTGCCAGAGAAGGAGCATGAGTGTGTGTCTGCCTTTCTGCAGTATGTATCCATTCCAGGTCAGCAACAGGCTACCCTGAGCTCAAACCTCACAAATAGTTAAGGCAGAAAAATATCTCCTGATGCCAGTAAACAGCTTCTGTCCTACACCGACAGCGGCGTGATCCTGGTGTGACACAGATGGTGCCAGCCCTCCTGGAACTACAACACTGCCAAGGAAACTGTGACGGGGCAGGCAGTCCATATTTAAAATGCAAGTCAGATACCTAATTTTGAGGCAAGCTCTTTTGTTCTTGCCTCCTCACATAGGAAGTATTTCAAATCAATCTGATTTACAGTAAGCAAAGCTGAGTTTCAAAAGGGAATAGCTTGGGTGATTACTTTCAGTAAATGCCTAAAACCTGCAGGATCCATAAAGGACCTGCCATCACGCAGATGATGCATTTTTCTCTCAAGTGCATCAACACTGTGTCTATTACTGAACTTTTGCTTTTTACTACCTCTGCTAGAAAAGAGAGCTTTTCATTTAATCTCCTGTTTCAGTTTCTAAACTATGTGGTTATAGTTTAGAATATTGTTTTAACCAAAGTGTCTGAAAGAAATGTTATTGAGAACTGTTATCTGAGTTGCTCTTTTAGGTAATAAAAGTTTTTTCTCCTTTGCTGAGTGCGGTCGTATTATTTTGAGACACACAAAAATTATTTCTCCTAAGAAAACAAGCAAACAAGTGCCACACACTTGACGGACAGGAGATCTTCCAGGTCCTGTTCCTTGCCACAGACAAGATACTGCCAGCATCAAGTTGACTTTGATGATGCCTTCTGACCACAGTTGCAAGTTCTGATCAGTACTGAGAGATAGAAGGATCTAAACCCAGTGTCTGAACATGCTTGGAGCTTGCCTGACTTCATGCTTGATATTACACCAGCAAAACACGTGGCTCGTGGTTCTGCATAAGTAACTGGGATTGGACTTACCCTTGGCCAATTTTTTCGAATCGAGTATACTTCTTCTTAGGATCTCCCACGCTCACAATGCTCCCTGAAAGAAACAAAATGCAAGATGTTGACTTCAAAATGGAGATCCTGCCTTCCAGCAGATCTGAAATGCAGCCCCACTGCTGAGCCCTTTGTAGTCAGTTGGGTAACAACAACAACAATAACAGCAACACCAGAGGCAGCTCCGTAGCACAGATGGCCTCTGCAAAGATTGATTTCCTACAGTCCTCTAAAGGGTCACCTTGACAGGAAACGAAGCACATGGAGAAACATTCAGAGCAGACAGAGATCAGAAAAGAACAGGTACCAATGCAAGAGTCTGTCCTCTACAAACATTAAGGAGAGCTGGAACAACAGTGCCCTTATTTTCTTGGGAATAAACACTCTGATGCAACAAAAGGTTTAATACTTCTGAAGATGAAATACACCTTGGGTTCTGGAATATTTTTTTATGAAAAGGTGCCATTTCCAGAGCAGGAAGAACATTGGAAAAGTGTTTCCAGGAGAGGAGGGGATCTTCTCAACCTATCAAGAGTTTGCCAAAAGAATGCCTTTATCCTTTTAAAGAACAGCATCTCATGTTATCATCAAGAATGATGGCATTTTAGATCTAGGACCTCCATGACTGATTACCAGGCTAAGTTCTGAAGACAATCTTGCTTGTGCTGCTTGAGGAACCACACTGCTTGTCTTCAACCTGACACAGATCAGTCACAACCACTGGACTCCCCCTCTCAACACTGCCCACACACTGGTCTTCACAAACCAGCACAACTGGAGTGGGTAACAAAGGACAGCAATGCCCCTCGAGCGCTGGTGACATGGACAGCTGCCCAAACGAGATGCTGATCCTTTCACAAGTCCAGGTGATGGGATGCAGAAGACAGCCCAGAGTCCTCTGGTCATGTTCTTCTCTACTGAAGAGTTATTCTGTAGTGAAAACCCGCTCTAGATAAGCAGAATGACCTTTTGTTTTATGGTTTGTGTTTCAACGAGATGAAACTATGAAAAGTTAACCAGGTTCTGAAAGCACTACACCCTCAGCTTGGGTTCCAGACGATCCAGTTCCTCTGACCCTTGCAGGCTGGCACAGCAGGGCAGGACCACTTCAGGATACTTGAGACTGTGTTGGAATCCCAGGTCAGTGGGCAGGCTCCCACTGCCATCCACAATGGGCACTGCCTGGCGTTCCTGGAGCGCTGGGAGAGGGGAGCGAGTACTGTGGGGCAAAGGAAACCTCCTCTCCTGCAGCTCCCATTAGCACTCTTGCCAAGGGCTGCAAAATTATTTTAGCAGGGAGTGCACCAGATGGTGTTGATGCCCTGTCTTCTTGCCGTGCTGGCAGGCAGGATTCCTGGCTAGGCATCCGGTCACATGCCCACTTGGATGCTAAAGCCTCTGCTCCAGAAAAATGGCCTTGACAGGGGGAAGACATGTTTGTTACTACTTAGAGTGCATCCTGCATCACCTAGTTTTGTTTTGGAAGCACAGGTAAACAAATAAGTGTATGTTTGTATTTGTCATACAGGGATACTGCCAGATAAGTAAAAAAAAATATGCTGTGGATCACTGGAAGTCTTTCCTTCTGAACTCATCTTAAACTATTTCCATGATGTAAATTCCAAGGTAAATCTTTAGAAGTCATTTGCATTGAGCCATCACCTTAGGCTTCATTGTCTACATTTTAGCTAGGAAATTACTGGACCAGAAAAAACAATATTGTTTCTTTAATTAAGCCTTCAGATTTGTTTGAGTCTATCAGATTTTGGCTCTTTCATGAGACACAAACACAATATCCTAATTATTGCTTTCTTTCCTTCCCGTTCAGACTCCCTACATCTCTGAGTGGGCAAGAAGGCATCAAACAGAGCAAGATTTAATTGCAGCTTTCAGTGGCACCAACTCCACGATGGGTGATGGAGCCAGACTGTCTCACACCCTGTGGCTCACAACCCCACGAGGCTCTGCAGCAGTAAACCAAACGCTGCTGGAATGCTGTGCTCAGCCTGGCTGGACAACAGGAACAACACCGTGCTGTCTGTATGGCTAGGTGCTATTTTCAGCAAGTTAATGGAACTGTGTACCTATTAGAACAGGTATCAGAAGTTCATGCAAGTTCATTAACATTAGAAAAGAATAAAGAAGACTGAAGAAGAAAGATTTTGAAAAATCATTTTTCCAAATTCACCACTGATTTTACAGTTCAGATTTTCAGCGTTTTTCCTCAAGGCTTGAGTAGCTTCTTTCCTAAGTTAGTTGTTTGTGGCCGATTCCCTGTGCTTAGGCCAATGCACATCAAATTTTGCAGCATTAATATCAACAAAGTGACAGGTATGCAGCTCCCGCTCAGACCAGCACTCACTACTGTGGACAAAAGACAGACATATCAGCTATTCTGATGTCTTTAAGCACTTTCCTTTATCAAGTCCTAAATTAAGTGGATAAGAAAGCAGAATTGGGCCAGTCCTGTTTTACAGTTATCAGTAGAACATAGTCATGATTTCATTACAGACAGAATTTTGTTTGATCTTATCTCGGTAATACAGGCTTTCCTCACTAATAAAACTCTGAAAGCTCTAAAAGAACTAAAGGTATTTCAAGAAGAAAAGAATTATGAAAGCAATTTCAGATAAAAGAGGGCATGGGACATCTTCCTAAAAGTAGCATAAAAACAGTTGTGGGGGAAGTAGGCAAGGTGAAGTGGTCATACGAGATAAAACAAAACAGAACGAGCACCACACTGCCTAAATATAATTAGTCCAGGACTCTAACAAAAAAGCATCCTCCCCATTTTCAGATAGCTTCATGAAAGCACAAAAAGATTTTCATTGTCCACATCACAATTTGCCCAAGGCAGACCTTCAGACCTTGCTCACTTGGTATCAAATTGTTAAGAAAGAAAAAGCATGAAAGCATGTAACACTTCAAAGATATAACCCCCAACAACTCAAGGGCTCAGTCCTAACTCAGCCTATACAGAAGCTTGAATAAACGATACACACGCTTATGTTCATAATGCAGGGTACCTGCAGATCTCAGCCTGCCTCAAGCATTTAGCATCAGCTGAAGAAGCACAATTCCTCTCTCTGTAAGCTGACATACCTGCAGGTAACTATCTGCTCTGGAATTTATTTCATTCTGCCTTCAGCTAAAGCTATTGAACTTATCCCTTGGATACTCCCTAATGGCACTGAGATTCATGTCAACCTGGTAAGGGTGCAGAACACTATGCAAGCAGCTGAAATCTCACAGTTAAGGAAGGTCTCAGCCTCTGCAGTCACACCAGCCATCAGTGGCAAGGCAGGTATGACAAAAAGGTGGAGCCTTGACAACCACTCTGAAGAAGCCACAGCCAGACTGCAGCCCCTTATGAGCAGTTGCTCCCTTTGAAGACACAGCATTATTGGCTTTGAGATCAGACACAGGGAGGTGTAAATCAAAATGCTTTTTGTACTAACAGTTAATGATAAACACAGAGTAAACTGGGATCTGTTCTGAACCCAACCGAGAACACAGCACTGGCAGCTATTAATAAAAATATTACAAAGCTATTATACAAATATTTTCTTTAATTTTCGGGCACATTGAAACACCTTTTTCCTCTCTATCCGTGGTGTCAACTGATTTTCTGACAAAAATCAGGACATATCACTGACAAAATTGTAGAATTCTTATAAAAACAAACTATAGAAGTAGGAGCAGTAATAACAGTCATAAGAAGGACAGCAAGAGAATAGCTGGGGCAGGAGAGTCACTTGAGGCTGAAGGAATAAGCTTAATGCTGCAGTTGTCTACTGTTAAAAAAAAAAAAAACCACCAAAAAAACGCTCCATGAATGAAAACCCAAAACCCAACAGATTTCTGCAAAGTATTTTGGCTCTGGTGACTTGTGAGAAGTCAGGAGTCTAAAGAGAATTTAGGAACCCAAATATTCTGTTCAATTGGCCATTAGCACACAGGAGTTCACTAGGTCACTCACTAGGTCCCAGCCTTCTGCTCAACCAGAAACAACCTCTGCTTTTGCCTTTAGAGCAGGAAGCAGCTCAGACAAACCCAATCCAGTCTGAGCTGCCCTCAGAAGCAGGAGGAACTCCCTCCCTCAAAGCTCAACAACAGTTTCTGTAGGGAGCTTTAAGTGACTCTGTGACACTGAACTGAGGAGGAACATTTGGCACAGCTAATGCTGAGATATGCACAAAATACACTGCTCTAGCAGACATAAAATACACAATACATACTCAGTTTCTCTAGGATCTCCTCATCTGTCATCTTGGATTTTTTCCGCTGCCGGTCTGTGTTTCTGTACAGAGTGTTTGTGTTTGAGTTTTCAGGTTGGGGAGTGGTGGCTTCTTTAGCTGGTGCTGGTGCAGCGGCAGGTTCAATGACAGAGCGTGTGTAGATCTGTGAGAAGAAATTATCTTGTGTCAGGAAGATGGCAGAGATCTCCCCAAGATCATATTTCGAATGTAAACCCTTAGGAAGATGGTGTCAGCAACATCCAGGGCTCTAAAACTGTTTGGTTTTGCTGCCCACTTCTCATACTGAATGGGCAAAAAATGAAGGGTTACAAGTTCATGGCCAGTTTCACATTCAATTTTCATGGATTTTCTGAAAAAGTACATGGAGAGGAGCAAGTACCTCAAGGGACAGTGTGTCCTACATATTCTGCCAGGTATACGAACTGTGTCTTTGGACTGCTCTCTCTGCTGACAGGGAGCCTGCACATGCACTGTGGACAAACTGGCTCACTTTTACACCCACAGCATCATGAAAAGAAAGTCACAGCCCCTGCCAGAATTCCAGGAACCTGACACCTAAGCACAAAAGCTGGAAACTGATTTTCCAGGTGTCAGTGGCTGGGATGAAGCACTATGTCATGGCAGGACCCCAGCCCTCAGAGTCTTCAGCCATGAACGACAAGTGCTGTCTGATCAGAAACTTGCAGCTCTGCACTGCACCAAACACAGTGCTAACCAAAGCTGGCACTTACTGATTTTGTATGTTCAGGCCGTGGGGCGATAACAGGTGGAGGTTCATTGTCATCTTCTTCCTCTTCATCATCTTCATCCTCTTCTTCAGACACAGAGGGAGCTAGAGGAGGTTCTGATGCTGTTTTTGTGCTCTGTGGACAGACAGTAGTGTGAGTGACAGTCACCACTCTGCCACTTTGGAGCTTTGATAGTTACATACAACCTTAGTCTTCCAGAGATCAGAATCCAATCTAGACATGCACGTGCTCCTATGGGCCTCAGTTCTAACTTACAGCACAGCACAATTTAAAGGTATTTAAAGTTAGGTGAGTTGAACTCCACCAGTCCCAGCTGCTGGTCAGAAGCACAGTTATATCATGTCATCCCAAATTTTGCTGGTAAAACAAAAAAATTAAAATGTGCCTTGTGAAGTGTTTACCAACTGCTTTCCAGCTGGCTAGAAGAGGCCACTTAAGAGAACTGAAGCAAACTGAAGGCACCATTCTACATATTCACATCTCATTGACACTCTCTTTAAAATGTCACCCCTTTGGTCCAGCAGAAATACCAGTAAGGGAAGCCCACAGCAAACAGGGAGGCCTGAGTTGCTAACTTTGGAAAGCTGACGTGCTGTCTCACTACTGCCTCTGTCTGCTAGAAGAAAACACCACAGCATCTGCCAAGGTGTCCATACAAGGCTTACTGTGCTCTGGTGAACACCACACGTCCTCTGAAAAGTGTGTTTTATTAAAGATAAGGGAAGTGGCATCGACTTAAAATCTGAAGCATGAATATTCAAGGATAATTTTTCATTTCATTATGCACAGTCTGCTGTGTAATCACAAACCTCACATGAAGTTGCTTAACACTTAAAAATAAAAGCCAAATTCCCATTCAGTCACTTGCTATTTAATGCACTAACAATAACCCTAATAAATTTGGTCACTATTAATGTGGATGTCATTCCTACATCTCTGGGAATGCTCTTGCAATTCAGCATTAATTAGAGTGGATGGTTATTTAAAACTTTCTTTCAATGGTTCCAATGAGTTACATATCAATTATAATCTGATTTATATTCAGCTATATATCCAGCTGTACTAAGGAGAAGTCATGAAATTCGATAGAAATGGGATTCTAAGTTGTTAAAACTAAATTAAAATGGGCTCATTAGACAGTACTGCATACTGTTGTGAATTATATATTCCATCATGGCTAAAACCGGCAAGCAATCTTCTGTCTGCAAAATAAGACTTTCACTTGTTTCAAAGCAATTAAACAGAATGAAAAAACAACCAAGGAAAGCCCATGGCTTGCTCCATAATTCTGAAACACCAGGGGCATCAAAGGTTACTTTCCCACTCACCGAAGGATGGGCTTCTATGTATCCATGGGCGCTTTTATCTGCAAAGAGCAAGGGAAAATGAACCAGATGCTGTTAGGAAAAAAACCTGACCGTTGTAGGGAATCCCACAGAACAAGTTAACACCACCCCTCCAGGAGCAACAGTTCCTTTACACAGCAAGGAAGAGAACAGGACAAAATTCTAGACTGTGTCTAATTTTTGCCCTGTTTGCCAGTAAATAAACTAAATAGAAATTTGGTCAAGAAAATGCAAATTGTTCTTTAACAATCAATGCTTCTGTTCCACCCAAGAGCTAAAGCAGCTTTTTCTCCTCTCTTTCCTGTGTTTAATTTTTTTAAATAAATTGCATGCACTCATTCTAATTAGTTTGTGACAACGTATCCCCAGAAAAGCTTCCCCAAAATCCCCCTTAAGCATGGCAGTTCTATTCTGACACAGCACAGGAACAGAACTATTTCGAAGTTTGCATTTCTTAATAAAGGGAATCACTATTTTAGTGCACAGTAAGTGTAAATTTAGTCAAATCCTTTAATTACGGAATTTGGAAAATTCTGGAGATAAGTGCAGTTTTTAAAGGGATTTGTGAGAAGCTTTCCTAGTCTGCATTGTGGAAGTTGTCTTGGTTGAACCATTGAACTAAGGAAATTACAGCTCCAGTGCCAAAGACGATCCTGTGGAGGGAATGGAACCCTGCAGGTTACATTCCAAAGCTGCCCATACCCCACTGCCTACAGACACCTCCTTTATAGCTGAAGCTGTTGACAGGAGCTCTACCAAACTAATGGTATCTTAATGGCAATTTTGTTTCAAAATCTTGGTTAGTTCTAAAAACCAGCGACAAAAAAAGTCACCATTTCAACGTTTCAATGACATTTGGAGGAGATGTGGAATTCATTTTAGGACAACTGGTTCACTTTGCTTCTTGACCACTTGAACATTGAATTTTGCTCTGACTCACTTTTGAAGCCTGACCTTCCTTTTTCACAGGGAGAAGTCAACTTACCTCCTGACGTAAAGCTCATGTATTTCTGGTTGTTAACTGTTTCTTTGGAATCATAAAATTTGAGAACATCTAGAACAGCCTGTGGGTTCTTCTTCTGCTCCAGTTTTGTTATGTTGGAGGTCTGTAGTAGCCTGGCCCACTGCTCTGGAATGCCCTGTAGTTGTCAAGTGCAAAAAAAAGTGGGTTTAGAGTATTTAAAATCCACAGCCTCACAGATCTTTACCAAGATCCCACGTTCCCTGTAGCACAAATTTACTTGCAGAAATTTTGACTGACACCTCACAATTAAAATTAGATGCAATCATTCTCTTCTCTATCAACATCTAGATAAAACCAGGACCCAACTTTAAAAAGAAAAGAAAGTAATGACTGTGAGAGGAAAAAAAGTGCATGAAACTCCTCTGGAAATCAACTCTGCTCTTCCATGGAATAATGATTTAAGGCTTAGCTTGTTTGCCTGGTGATTCAGTGCAGACATAACAAGACAATTATTCTCTATTGGTGGACAACACAGTGTCTTTTAGGAGCTTTACACTGGACTTTTCACGCTTAGCAACTCAAACACATTTTGCTGAAATGATCACTGCTGTCTGATTACAAGGTGAACCCCACCCTGATACAGTTCATTTTCAGCATACCAGGGAACACTGCGGGGTAAAGAATCCGTCTTTCAGCTCTCAAAAGCATGACACTGAGGTGTCCCACTGCTGCAAAGGATGCCTCTAAGTTCTCTACTGCAAACATACAGAAACCAGGGACTCAGAAAACAGGCTGAGAGTCCCAAAGCCTTGGATGAATTCTTGGACATCTTATGGGTGAGGGTGGTGTTTGAAAATTGATCCAATCGCTGAAACCCGCAGCTCTACACTGGAATTCTATTTATAAAAACTTGCTTTAGTTACCCAGGATGGTTCCCTAAATTTGACAGCCTGTCATTTCCCCCCTTTACTGCACAGCTGACAGCGACCAGTGAATTGTAGGGCTCACTGAAGAAAAACGACACCTTAGCCTTGGTGCCACCCCAATCTACTTTCATACAGCTTCTTCCTCAGAAGTTCTCCACAAAACAATGTGTGACATGGGCCTCCAAAGTTTAGGACTGATGAAAAAAAAGAGTGGGAAAAGCCAAGCAACAAATCTACTGCACACACATCAACCTGCTGCTGCAGTGCTATGACATCTCAAAGAAGCATTTGGGGCCTGTGACGCACCTCTGGGAGCTTCCCTGGGCACATCTGTGAGCCATAGAGATCTGGCTGCAATGGACGTAAATAAAGAAAGAAAAGAAAGTTAAAACAGAATGTGGGACAACTCAGAAGGTGGTAGGAGGAGGAAACCAATGGGCCAAAATGGGCAAGTCCCATCTAAAATGGGAGTTACGAGGCGGATACCAAACAGATCCGGCGGCGGATGGGCTACAGGAAGGCAGGCTTAGGAAAACAGAAAAATCACAACCATTCCAAAGTTTGGAAGCATCATTCCCCCTCCTCTTGCTTCTAAACAAGTTTTTCTCTCCCTCATAAAAATACATTCCTGAGAATTAATGGCAAGTGACTGAAAAAATTACTTGTGATTTCCTGTCTCGATTAAAAAAAAAACAAACAAACCAAAAACTATTGGGCTTTTGCTGTTTGCCTAGTTTTGAAGCCAGGTTAACACTTTTGAATGGCTCTATACAAGTTTTTTCCAAGCTTGGGGGTTCTGCAGCCCTGAGATCACCACTGGCCAGTGAGTGAGTCCCCAAAGTGCAGTGGAGAGAGCAGCCAGTCAGATTGTGAAATCTGGGAGGTTGTGTATGGCCACAACTCAAATAATCTATACGTGTCAGACTGAAAATCAGGACAATTGTAAAGAAATGCTTGATTTGATTAGGAATGTGCAACTTCTTTGGATCTACAGCCACAACTTTTCCCACTTACTAATGTCATAATCTTGAAGCTTTAAAAGTTTGGTGGGTGACCACATTTTCTTCTAGATTGGGGATGAGGAAACGGCTTCAAACATGCATGCCTTACAAAGAACACTCCCCAAAGCCCTGCTAACCACACTCCGTCCTCCATTCAGAAAATGCAACTGTTTCTTCAAATAAAGGAACATAAAGCTCTAGCAGCATGCTCCCACCCAACAGTTTCCAACCAATTTTATTCTCTGCTTTAAAAGCCCTACTTCTTAGCAAATGTGGTTGCTCCAAGCACAGTGAAATGGAGACATAACATCTGTTCGTGATGGACAGCACAGCCTGGTGCTCAAGCCTGAAAGCCAGAACTCAGGAGCCCATGCAACTGTGCATTGGGATGCAACTACCAACAGTCAGGGGATGCAGCTGGGGGTGATGGTTGGTTGTCAGAGAATGGCCCAGTGGGTTGCACATAACCAGGAGAGCAGGCACGACCGGCATGACAGCTGCAGGAATTAGAAACAAACAAAAACCCCAACCCATACATTTGCACATTTATCCAACACTTCCATGGCACTTCCAAACTTTTGAAAGAGACAGGCAGCGTGATCACTAGACAGTGGGAATATTTATCCATGACATGGCTAGTGGAAGTTCCTTCAGCAGGACCTACTTACCACACGACTACCCAGCTGATACATGGGTTCTATCCAGGTTGGGACAAATCAAACAAGCCTAATGTAATCTGGGATTAGCTGGGACTGACAGCCAGTTCTTAATGATGCAAAAACTCCCTTGCTTTCACTGGTATTTGACTCCCCTAAGGACTGCAGCATAAGCCCTGTGCTGGCAAGCTGCACAGGGGAAGTCACCTGTCCCTTTGGTTCCTTTTGAATTGGTTAGAGCCCTCTCAGACTGCAGCACTGCACTTCCACACTTCAGTGCTATTGCAGAAATATTGTGTGGTTGCAAAATAGCAGCCATCTAATCTGCACTGTTTGGAAAGGGGAAAAGATATTAAAAAGGAACTGTGCTACAGCAACAAAGCTGGATATATTTAGTCATGTAGAACTGCTGTGCTCTATAAAAGGGCAGGACCTGTGCTGGTGGCATCTAACACAAAATAAAAAAATAAAAAAGCAAAAATCTCTAATGCTAAAGCAAAAATCTCTGCTGCTATCATCATGTTTTGACACACAGGATGATAATAACAACATTCAAAATGATCCAAACCGTGACCCCTGAAATACTGATAGAGAGTGTTTGTGCTCAGAACCGAAGTGCATTAAGCTTGACATCCCTCCTTTTTGTTCCAGCTGGCAGTGACATGAACCAAATGGGACCCTCACCACAAGTCAGACTATGGAGAACATAACTGTGACCCATCGTGTTTGCACAGAGCCAGAAGGAAAAGGTCTGAAGCACAGGGTAGAATTAAAGGTAGAAGGTTGGAAGGAAGAACAGATACAGAATAAGAAGAGCTGAACGTTTAGTGGGGAGAGAAGGGAAGGAGGAAATGCAAAGACAGACAGGAAGAAGTGATGCAAACACAAAAGGGAGAAAACAAAAGCAGAAAGTAACATAACATATAATACAATACAAAGATAAGGAGAATGGCACAGAAGATTAACTTGAACAATAAAGTGGCTATAGGGAGAGAAAGAGAGGAAAAAAGGGAAAAGCCAGGACAGACAGCACAGAAAAAACAATTTTAAAAGCTTTATGCTAAGTTTCTGATAAAAAATGACCACATCTGGGCTTTTTAAATGAGCATTTAGTCAACCCCCAGGGTTTGGCACAGAATAAATTTTGAAGTAAGATTTTATATATGACACCTATTTAAAAAGGCTAATTAAGTAGTTCACTTATTTTAAATGTAGCTGTATTTCCTAATTACAAAGGATAATTCAATTTCACTACCCCTTTGAAGATATGCTGTCATTAAATGTGTCTTTTTCTCTTCTACTGTTATTACTACTGTTGCTACTGCTACTGTAGGATACAGAAAGTTTCCAGCTTTCTGAAACATCTTTGCAAAAAAAAAGAAAAAGTGGCAATCAAAAGAAAAAAATCTTTAAAAAATCACGTTTAGGATTCAAATTCCGAAAATTGGCCATCCTTTGTCCAGGCAAATGATTTGTCCCATCCTGTTCAGTGTATGCAGCCAGTCAGCACTACCACACTTCATTCACAATTTGACACAGGGTGATTACACAGTCTGACCACTCAGCTCACAGGGCACTACAGGTGGCACAGAGAGAGTTGCTAATGCTTCCTCTCACCTCCACAGCTCAACCACACATAAGCCCACTGCCATCTCAGCTTTAAGGGATTAATGGGTTCTGCACCTAACTAATAGTCTGAGAAAAAATGCTCTGAAACCCCCTGCACGCTTCAGGGAGCTTCTATCAACTCATTTTTCCCAACACTTATGAACTTTGTCAAGATACAAGTAGCTGACAGCTGTTTCATTAGTACACAAAGGCCAGAAACGTGTTTGATCATCTCAGGTGAAAACATATTTTAAAGAAATTAAATTACAATGAATGGACTTCCATAATGCTGCTGCTTTCTGGGTATCTCCAAGGGCTGCCTGCAGAGCACATGGACTTTGCATTTTGAGGCTGGTTGTCTACTATGCACGTGTGTGGGGGCTTTTTATGCTTTTCCAAAGACACTGAAAAACCAACTCTTGTAGCAGCTTGGGGGACTGATAACAGCATACACCTACGTCCTTCCTAGTTTTCATTTTCCACAGACACTCTGCTGACAATCCTTGGAGGAAAAAAAAAAAAAGGCAGCCTGAATCACAAGTTAAACACTCCAGATCCTAAGCCCAACAAAGAAAAGTCTCTTTCTTCACAGCCTGGGTGCTCTCATCTGATGTTTCTGGCAATAGGAGGTTATTTTACCATCAAGAAACTAGAAGCTCTGGTAAGTATGAAATACAGCAGTTACTTACTGTGAATTCTCCAGTGACGGCATCAAATCCCACATGAATGGTATGTTCAAAGTCTGAAGGAAGAGAGATCTCAGGACGTTCTTTTTCTTTCTTCTTGTTGGCTAGAGGCAAAATGTTAACAAGCACTTATTTTCTGTACAGCTTTTCATTTAAAACTTCTCACAATCAGCGTGCTCAAAATAGTATTTTAAAAGTGGAAAACAAATCAATTAACATCCATCTAACCTGACAAACAGATCCAAGCTAATACAACACCAGCCGGTCAACTCCTGTTGGGGAAGGTCTAGAAGGTGCTATTTTGTTTTGTTTTTCTTTCAGCCACTGTAATTGCTGCCAAAGCAAGCTGCTCATGAAGTAGCCTTCTTAGGCTATCTCTAACCAGTAGGATTTCTATTATCAGTTCTTCTTTTCACTGAGATTTCATATCTAGCAACTAACTCCTGTTTGTTAACTTCACTCTGTGGGTTTCTGTGGAAGTAAATCACGCAGGATACACGTGTGTATGGATCTTTTTTCCTCCAATGTGGTTTGAACCCGTTTCAAAATCAGCCAAATTAGAGAAGAGAGGTTTTTAAGACAACCGGGTTCCTAGAGGTTCTGTGAAAACTGGCAGCTCAGGAGGTGACAACTCTGCCAAGTAAAAGGCTGAAGCAGCAGCTCTGTATTAGAAAACAGAGAATCTGCACAGCAACAGGATCCCACAAACGCTGCTGGAAAAGCTTCATTTGAGGTCTCAATTAACTAAGACATATAATCATAAAACAGGCTTTATGAGTCTCCAGAAATTTGTTGTTTTTAAATCATTCCACCAGTATTCCCAGAGTATGGAGTGTCTTACTGAAGCAGACAGGCCTGGAAGTCAGTCAGCCTGCATATGCTTCTTATCTCTCTCTCCCTCTACCACCTTTTGAAAGTAATGTGGTCATCCATCTCCTGCGCTTCTGACAGCTGACAAGTGTCACTTCAGCCCAGTTTTACTGACCCTGATAAAGAATGAGTGGAATAAAGGCTGAGAGAAGCTGCCTTCACTTTCCTTCAGTGTTTTAGTATTATGTTTGCCAGCTCTGTAAGTTCACCCAGGGGTCTCATCCAAAGGCTGAACTCACTGTGTATCAGCACCGCTCCCAGCCCGGGTCTGTCTTTGCTCACAGGCAGTACCTCCATGAGGCCTGTCTTTGCACATCTTTCTTATTCTGTCTTTACAGCCTCCTTTAGGTGGAAGATGCTCTGCTCTTCATCCAGAGTATTTTCAATGTTTCTAGTACTTTCTCTGCATTGCTGCATTTATCCTCCTTAAATAATTGTCACCTTTTCTCTGTGCTGCACACCCCTACCCAATGTTCATTGATGAAACAGTTTCATTTAGCATTCAGTAAAGATGGCAGCAATATCTCAAACACAAATGCAAAGGCTTTTCCCCTTTTTTTATTGCTTAGTTGATGTTTAATTTTCAGGACAGATGTTGCCAGTTAGAAGATATCATCTCTATGCAAATAACAACACTGGCTTCTACTACCTCATCATTTGCAAGCAAATGCAGTGAAAATTAGATTTAAAGAATTATCAAATTCAGTTCACAGCAACAGTCAAATCTAGAAGCAAAATAAGGGATTACAGAAAACATTCCATCAAAAGCAGCACTTGTCCATTCTAGGACTCTCCTGCAGGAGGACAAGTTTCTAGATCATTCCCCAAGATATGGCTCATCTGCTTCATGGACCTCTGCCTACCAGACTGTGATACAACACCTGTGGTCCAAATGCTGATAAACTATAAATGAAATACAGAATTAAGCATCTCTTTACAACACCCTCACCTCTCCCCAGTCTAAAAACTTTGACACTTCTGTCTGGGCCCTGCAAATCAAATCACTTCTATTTCATACACACTGGCAAAATGATACAAAAAGGCATTACTTCTTTGAAGCACTGACTGACTGGATTCAAGGGGTTTGTACTGGACATGCTATTTGATTTTCTTGCAAATGCCCCTCACAATACCCTCCTGCTGCATAGCACTTAGCCAGGAAGGCCTCCACACCACCTCAGCACCTATTACAGATTAAAATAGAACAAGGAAAGATTGTTCTGTCTCCCACGGTCTGCATCACCATCATCATCACCATTATGTTAAAAGAGAAGTTGTTTGGGAGAAAAATGTGACTCAGCTAAGTGGCAGCTTTTCTCCAGAGACAGAGGAAGGGTTTGACCTCATGCTTACGCCCTCCTGTTTGCTCACCTCCTCTTCAGCTCATTCTGTTCCTTCCTCCATCTCTCATCCTTCCATTCTCCCTCATGCCATCCTCTCATTTTCCCTCCTGCTCTGTTCCTCCTGTCCCACCCCAGCAGCCTTGTCATTTTCTTTTCCTCCGTTTATCTTTACCCTGCTGAGTTTTCCTCCTTCTCTCTTTTCTTGTTTTTCTGTACAGCAGCCAACCAGATGCCTAAAGGCCAGACTCTGCACCCACCTGCAACCAAGTCTAAAGCAGCTTCAATGGAAGTGATAGCATTCACCCAGTAACCTTAACACAGATGGACCTCTGCAGCTGAAAGAGGCATCTGAGCTGTGGTGGGCCAGCTTCCCTCTGATTTCTTCAGGCCTCCATGGAGCCACCAGTGCACACACAGTATTAATTTATTTCACAGCAATTACAGATGATTTAATGAAAGAAGAACAAGGCTGGATCAAACAAGTGATACAACACACAGAAAGTCATTACTTTCTGCTCTCAATTCTGCTGAGGTAACACCTCTGCTGAAAGGAAGCACTAATGCTGTGAACTGCATTGTGGCTCCCATCACCATTATTAGCTCTGAGACAGGAAGGCCAATTTCACAGCTTCAGCACAGGCTATGAGGGAATAGGTTCAGCTCCTTGTTCAACAAGGATTGCCTGTGTGGCACTGGAGATTCATTTCAATTGTCTGCCTTGGCTTCCTGCCCTCAGGAAATGGGATACCTTACCCCAGAGATTAGAGAGAGAAAGGAGCACGAGGTCAGGTGCTCTGGGAAGGAGCAGGACACTACTGCCTACACGGCTTATATCAACTGCAGATGCACAGAAGGGCCCCACAGAGCCACCAGTGGCTTGCCAAAATAACTGAAAATGCTGCAGTCCAGCAGGGGAGTGACTGCAAAGATTCCTGGTGTCCAGGCACAGCAGTCCTGGCACACAACCACCTTGGAGGGAACGCACCGTACCACATCCATCCTCGCATCCCTCCTGTCTGGTGAGCAAAGGAAAGACAACAAAGTCCCTGCAGGTTTAGGCAGAAACACCCTGCCATGGTGTTTTCTTCACATTCTGTTTACTTCTACCGGTGGTGAACTATTAATATAACACTGTGATGCTGCAAAGCACTGCACTAGATGAGAGCAATCGTATCAGTCACCTTCTGTTTTATAAGCAGGACTCTCAAAAATGTGTCACAGAGTCTGTGAAGCACACACAGACCAGCTGATACCATGACCCACAAACCAACCCTGCAATGAAACCACCTCAAGGGGCTTGGCCAGTCAAGCTAAACTTCCTCCATTTATTATTTCACCCAACAAAATGAAGCTATAAATCTTACCTTACTTTTCCTCACAGTCACATTTAAAATCATGACACTTGTATGTTTCCTAAGACTGTTCTGACTGGTAGTTAATTACATTTTTAATGTCAGTGATCACTTCCAGGAGGGATTTTTTCTGGATCTCCCCTTTTCTGCATGTATTTCACACAGCACCTCCTATTTAAGAAATGCTCCCTCAGGGAGCGATAATACCATCCTGCTAGCACTCAAGGGAAGAAGTGACCCAAGTCTTTCTAGGAATTAAAAAAGCCGGGAGAGGTTTTCATTTTGACCTTTAGAAAGAATCAGTGGAAAATTAACTTTGTTCTCAGAAAGGGACATTTGGGGGAACACACTGCAGAGTGAACCTGGTCAGGTCTGCCTGAGGAATGGGCCCATCCAGTCACAGCCTTCCCATGAGAGGGGTCTGCAGGACTGCCTGTGGCTGAGGGTAGGAGCGGGGCTGACACTGTGCCTTCTACTGCCTGTGAGCTCTCCTCGAAGGGACAGTGACACACATTGAAGGCAGAATTCCTCTTGAAATCCATCTGGATTTCGTGCTGCTGATCACAACCAGTTTTCAGTCCACCTCACTGCACACTTATCTAGACTGTATTTCATCAGTTTGTCTGTGAGGGTGCTGTGGGAGGCTCTGCTGAACACCTTACAAAAGCAGAAGTAACAACCACTGCTCTGCCTTCACCACCAAGCCTGTCATCTCAAGGTAAAAGGCTGTCAGTATAGCTCAGCATGAACTCTCCTCTGTAAATCCGTGCTGACTATTCCTGATTGCATTCTTATCCTTCATTTGTGTGGAAATGGTTTCCAGGAGGATTTGCTCTACTACTTTCCCAAGGAACAAGGTGAGGCTGACTGGCCTGCATTTCCCCAGAACCTCCTTCTTAAAGGCAGACATGATATTTGCTTTGTTTGTCATCAGGAACATCCCCCAGTCACCCCAACCTTTCCAAGAGTGGCCTTGCAGTGACATCAGCCAGCTCCTTCAGCATTTGTGGGTGCAGCCCATCAGTTCCCATGGCATTAGAAAAAAAAGAAGACCCCTTCTCTTCATTCTGTCAATACACTAAGTCAAAAAAAACCCCCTCCTTTCTGCAAATGCATTTCAAAGAATGCAACTGGAATTCTGTTTGCTGCATGTTTAAAAGACTCTCTTGCCGTAATCACAGTTTGCAGGTTTTAAACCAAGCCATTCTGTGTCCACTCTCACTGCAAAAGCAACAAGAAAGAAGAGCCTTGCTCCTCTTACTGGAATGTAAGTGCTCTAAAAAACCCCTCAAAGTGTCAGGCATACTGCCCTCTCACTTCTGCAAATGTATTTCCAAAAGTACACAACCTCGTCTGTTTTTACTGCTAATGCAAAGCAAAATCCAAAGGAAAGGATTCCCCAGCTTAACTATAAAGTTATTTTTAAAAGGCAAGTTGCACAATGTGGGCACATTTTAGTGGCTTTTCGGAGACAAGAAAGTAACTGACTGAACACCTCCTCCTCTTTCCAAACATGCTTCTAGAGCAATTGGAACAGAAGGCTTTGGTACCACGGTCTGCAACTGAAACAGAGAGAAAACAGTGGCAGAAAGTAAACACCACAACCACCAACCACCAGAAAGCACAGAGATGGAGCCACCCATCTGCACTGCTGATACTTTACTTTTATCCCCTCCTCCTGGAAAGATGGAGCGCAGCCTGGCTTTCTTGTTCTTCTCCTCGGGGGCCATGGGAAGCGGTTTTGAGCTGTGGTTCAGTGCTGAAGAATCGCGGTTGTTGCTGTTCATTCTCAACGGTGGGGCTGGAGGTTTCTCTTCAATATCCAGACTATCGGACATCTTCAGCAGCCCTCACAGCCTCCTGCAAAGCAGAACACAGAACATGCCTGTGAAGGGAGGATGCCAAGGCTGCTGGGCTGGGGGGGGAAAGGGGGTGAGAAAAGCCTTCTGGTGGAATAAGAAAACCTCTCTGTTAGAGGTTTGGTCTGAATAAAGTTACCGTTGGTAACTAGAAATAAATTCAGTGGTCAATTCCTAAAAACCACTGTATTATCCCTGTTACAGGCTTTTTAAGTATTTGCTTATAACTTTTTCCCTGTAGTTGTTTACAATCCAAATTTTCCAAAACAGACTTCCAAAGTAAAATTTAAATGATTTACTGAAACTACTTGGCATTGTAGTCAATCATTTTTATGAGGTAAGAAACAAAAGTGCATGTTGAGGGGATATGGGTAACAAGCATTAAAACTCTGTTCCCTCCCTGCTATGTTTTGAGAGCTTAGGGCTTCAAAAGGAACAATCTTCTCAAAAGAAACTCATTTTGAAGTACGAATTAAAAAACTTTCTTGCACATAAAAATGAGTATGTGTTTACCTTAAAATCAAAAATGTTCATATCCTGAAAACAATCCAAGACTCATTCTGTCCTGCTACCACATGGGTCTGCTCCCACGGGAGGTGCTCACCTCCACTTGCACACTGAACCACAGGCAGCCACCGACCAGGTGTTGCTCCCTAGAGCTTTGCCTTCAGGCACGGAAGTGTGGAAAAGATTACACAGTCCCAACTAATGGAGTCATGAACTGGAGGCAGTTGTCAGAGAGGATCACACCACCTGGGAAAGCACAAGAAAACCACGATCCCCAGGATGTGCTTGGCCCCCATGAGAGGGCTGTACCCACACAGCCCCCACTGTCCAGGTAAAGAGCTGCTCTGGCAATGGAGGGACACAGCCCACACTCCTATGGAAGCACATATGGAAGCACTAATGTGCTTTATATCACTCAGGAACAGCTATAACCGTGCCCAGGCTAGGGCCTGTGCCAATCTAGTTTTCAAGTACAGACTAGCCTATTTACCTAAAGAACTAAATGCTTTTGTAGATTTAGGTCAAACAGTTAATATTACTAATCTTTGTGATTTCCATCCTGAAATGCAGAAGGTTTTCTAGTAAGGAAGGAAGGGGGGTAATAGCCAGTGATGAAAACTACTGTAAGGTAACAGGGAGAACCACTCGTGCTCTGTGTGTTATCCTGGGGAAGGGACAGCCCATGATGTTCAGGTACTTTTGCACAGAGATGGGTGATGGAGATCTCAGCCTTTGAAGCCCAGCAGAGACACCTGGATATGTCTCCCTGTCTCTCCAGCAATTCTCGCAGAGCAGGAGCTCATGCAAAAGAGGCTTTTATTTTCTCTTTAACCCACCTACAAATAGCTTTCCAGTGCCAAAATCAGGCTTCACTCCCGAGACTGCTGGCGTGAGGCCGAGCACAGGAGCACCAGGGCACGTTTTCGGCTTCTTATCAAAAGCAAGGCGGTTATTCTGTGAAGTCCATTATGGGGCACAGTCTCAGCTGTCCCTCAGAATGGGACAACTGTATCTGCCACTGCATCTATTTGTAAACAATGCCAGTTTGCTGAAATAGGTCCTCCCATGGGATTTCATTCCACAAAGAATACTATTAACGGTTTCTGGCCCAATTTGCCTATGATGTAATTATTTCCAAGATTTTGAAAGGAACACTATATTTTGTTCAGAGCTGTTTCAGGCTCAGTTTCAAGAACTGTACAAAGCTCTTTTATTCATTTCTAAAACAGAAAAAAAAAAAAGAGGGGGGAAGATAGCCTAAAAGGTTTAACGGTTGATATTAACTTTCTAAAGCTGGTCTAAATAAAGACTAAAGCAAACCACAAGATAATACACACCAAGAGAATTACAATTTATGGTTTTCCTGATCAGAGCCCATCTGCTCTTCCATTCATTCTAATTTTGAGGATTTCCATGTACCACTGCATCACAACAAAAGAACATTCACTATCACATAAGACTTCAGATTTTAAGTATTTTGTACTGATTCACTCCAACCCCAACTTAAAGAAAATCTGTGAACAGTGGAGGGCCAACAAGATATATCCAGCTGAGAAAACTCTCAAGTTTACACTGCAGAGAAATGTCAACAGCAAACAGCCCAAGCTAGACTCTATCCTGGGGCCAGGTTTTCCCATCTTAATAAGAAGTCCTTGGTCCCACTAGTCTAGTTCTGCATAGGGCAACTCCATCAAAAACCACCTTCTGTCTATTGCAAATTATTACAGCATATCCATATATTCAGTTAGTCAAATTCTGGTGTTCTTTCTCTTTTTTCTTTAGCCTTTTGTTGTTGTTGTTGTTGTTTGGGGGGAGGGAGATTTGAAGGGGGGGAGGGTGGGTGGGTGGTTTGTTTGGGGTTTTTTTAATAATCCTACCAATTCCTGCCTCCCAGAAATAATATCTGCTACCTTATCCTTTCATACCTCGTCTCCTGTTCGCAGAGACACAAGTCTCTCCACTCAAAACACACCTTGGTTTCATGAGTTTTTCCTACACCTCCTGGCAGGCTCCCAGGCAACCCTGCTCTCTGTAACCCCATCTCAGCTCAACAAGCAAAGTGCTGATGTTTGCATTCTGCCCTGGAGAGAGACGGTCACAAAACTTCCATTTCTTAGGTCCAAGATGAATTCCCAAGTCTCTGAATCCTTGTTGATCCAAGTTTCTATGCAGTACCTCAAGAAGCACATAATCCTCTGAAGACCTTCTCCCAAGAAGCTATTGAAAGCAAATCCCTCAACAAGACAAAAACAGCCTCCACTTCCCACTTGTGACAGAACCACAAATTCTAGAACAATGCTGAAGTGACACAGCCCATGCCCCAAACCCACAGGACTCTGACTGAAGGGTATGGAACAGTTCCAAGGACTCTGAGCAAATGTTCCCTAGCCCTTCTAAGCTCAGGGAGCCAGTATGGCATTGGTTTACACTCCTGTCACAGTTTTCAGACTTTTCCTGCAGCCCTGAGTGCTAGAAAGTAAATTTTTAAAAGCAGAAGTGAGATTGCAGAATAATTCTGCAGTGGAGATGAGATCCTGGCAAATCCTGCACACAGACCTGTGGAACACTGTGCCTGGGTTCTGAGCACTGCAACAACAGAGCTGCCAGAGCACCCACCAGGGCTGTGAGAGCCACCCAGGCTGTCAACAGGGACAGCTTTTGGAAGAGGCCAGTCTGTGCTCACCAAGAGGATGGAGTCCACAATCAACAGTATTTTCCTCATCTCAGTCCTCAAGGACCCCATGAGTGCAACCAAGGTAGTGCTGATAACCCTTTTAAAAGTGTGAAGTTGCACAACAACTACCCCCTTCCAGAGAAAATTCTTTTCAATGCCTTTTGGCTTTAAGGAAGGATTTAAAGAGACAGACTGTTGCACCAAAATACAAGAGTGTATTTGAATGTGTTAGCTAGAGCTTCCAGCCAAGTGGCAAAAGCTAAAATTAAGTTCTCAGCCAGGTCAGTTGCTTCTACATAACTATCACAGAGTTATACAAGATGATCCATTGTCCTTTCCCTTCCCCCCTACCTTTTCCAATCACCAGTTTTGTTAAGTGTGAAGACAAACACTGACTTTAAATATATGGTATTCAGCTTCTTTATGACTCAATTCCCCCTTTGCAAAAGCCTGTCTTATAATATTTTTGCATCTAGATCCTGCCAAGCTAGGGAGGAGAGGAAGGAAGATATCTGAAGCAATGTCTTCAAAACAACACACACACAAAATTTGTTCAATTCAGTTCAAGTTCAGAGCAGAATCTCAAGCTGGGCCTTGATCTCAGTAAGCTCTTCACCCCTGTGTATCTGGGAAACACTGTGGATAGACCTTGAATAGCTTTCTTAAGTTAGCCCCCTTATTTCAAAGTCTGCAGCATTCAGACATGACTGGTTCCAATTAGAACTCACAAATAGTATCCTGTTTGCAGAGACACTGGTGCTCATTTTCAAAGCCTCAGAGATACTATTGCAGCTTGTGATGCAGCAAAACTGTCTCCAAGATCCCTTGACTGGAAGGAACCATGCCAATTTTCAGGCAGTAGCTTTGCAAATGTAACTTGAAGATACAAGACTCACTCTTTGTTGATAAATATACTTCCTGAAAAAAGATATTTATTACTTAGTTGTATGGGCCAAATTTTGCTCCCAGTGACACTCATCCATTTCCAAAAATCAATGGTGATGTAACTGAGAAGGATTCTCTCTAGATTTTGAGTAATGAGACACTCTGTTTGTTAAGGTATTTATAGAGTACTTTCCTGCCCAGTTCAGACCTGTATGTGCTTTTCTACATCTGCACATTTACTTGCAGTTTTCTTACAGTTCCTCTAAAGAGCAGCCAGTGAGTTGGACAGAACAGATGCAACCACAGCTTCACTGCTTTCATGCAAGATGCTTTACTCTGCAAAACCTGGTTAGGCTAAAATAAGATACTGAGGCCTTTTTGATAAAAAGGGCCATATCCAACATCAGCTGAAGCAGAGACCACTCTGCCTGGGTACTCAGGGTCCATAACACCCTAAGGTGGTCTGTGCTCAGCTGCTCCACCCCTGGGTGCCTGCAGATCACAGGTGGGGCTGGCTCTGCAGGCAGGGCAGACCCACCCGGGGTGCCCTGCGGAGTAAAGACATCTTTTTCTGTGACCTCTCCCACGTGCACGTGTTGCCAACAACGACTGCATCCCTTCTTTATACAACCCTGAAAAAAGGAGGCATTCACAGAAACTACAGAAGGAATTATAACCCCAGAAACATCAAGAACGCTTCCCTTTCATACAACTGTCTCAAAGCACAATACAAACATTTGCCAATTAAACTTCCCCATTCCCCTCACAGGCAGGTAAACATGCTCTGAGCTGAACAAATTATTCAAACTGAGTAATTTCTTTGATGAATGTACTCTCTGTTCCTGTTTGCAAACACCCTGTAAGCAGCTTATGATTTCCGCCAATATATTCATTTATTCAGAAGTTATCCTCTGTACTTGCTACAAGTGACTTTTGGCCTCTGAACTAGCTGTTCATAAGAAGCTCTCTGTGTGGAGGGGATATTTTGAATTCAGGTTGGATCCAAGTAAAACTACCTGGGTCACAAGTACTTGGAATGAAACATCCATTTTGAGATGGGATAAACAAGCTTCTGTTAGGAACTGCGGCATTAAGAGTTTTACATAGTGACTTACTAATACTGGTTCAAAATTCCCTCTTGACTGTGCACTTGCAGCAATAGTGCCAAAAGAACAAATACAGAACGGATGTTTGCACAGGAGCTGTGAATTTAATGGTTTTGACTAAATATTTCTTCTAATTTAAATTATTATGTCCTTTGTCTGGACCTCAAGTCACTCAGTTAAATTGCTAAGAGCTGCGAATGGACCAAAACAGTGGAGCTTGTCACAACTGATGGAAACAACCTGCAAACATATTTTTTCCCCCCTGCTTAATTTACATTTGACAGCATTTCTCAGTCCATGGCCTTTGAGGATCCATCTCCCCTCCTCACAAGCGTAGCCTACCTATTTAACTACATTTCTTTCCACAACTCTCCAACTCCTTCTCTACAAACTGCCAGTGCAACCACAGGCAACACTTCAAAATATGCATCTGACTTTCGTCTCCCAACACCCTTCAGCCCACCCTCTTTACACGTCTCTTCCCACACGGTCAAACTCGCTGCTGCTCTGCAGACTCCCAGTGCCCCGTGCCTGCTCCCACTACAAAAGTTTCACAGCTCCTCACACAG